CAATAAAACCTCCCTATCTCACTGGGAGCACGCGAGCATTTAATGGGAGTCTATTGAAGAGAATGTTTGGAGCTTCCTCACAGCTCATCTCCAAGCTTGCTCCTGGGCGTTTGCAGAGGTTGGCTTATCTCCGTGTTTGCAGAGAAACCTGTCAGGAGTCCGTGGCAGTGAATTTCAAGGTCATTTCACAAAGCTAGAGCCCATGCTTCGAAAGACTTGATCCCTGGCTGCGAAGGATGGGAGTCCGTAATTACCAGCCCTGGGGGGCATGGATGAAGGTTGGAGGGGGAGGCTAATTGCAGACTGACTGTCTCCTTGGCCTTCAACATCTCTCGTGGAGCAGGGAAGTGGTGTGCTCAGCCAAGCACCAAGCGTGTCCTAGGGAAAGGTAATTCCTCCCCAGCCTGCCTGAACCCGTCCCTATAAACAACGAGAGCTGCATTGGGAAGGCAGCGCTGCAGAATTCACACACACACACACACACACACACACACACAAAAAAAAAAAAAAAAAAAAAAAAAAAAAAAAGTCCCTCTGAGCTGGAGAAGAAAACCAGGCATGCAGAAAGGCTCCGTAGGAGACAGCACACAACCACGTGCCTCTTCCTGGAAGAGTCTGCAAGTCCCTGCCGTGCCCTCAGAGGCAAACAAGGGCTGAGAGCCTGGATCCTTCCCCCCATCTGTGCACCCCAGGGAGGTGCCACCACCAGCTCCCTGGTGTGGATGTGCGCACCATGTCCCCTCATGTACAGGTGGGTGCTCTGCCCCGTGCCATGTCAGGCCCTAGGCCTGCACCTCAGCCCTACCTGCTGCCCCACGCAGGCTCTGCTCCAAGAGACATCCCCCTTCCCCTCCCAATACTTTTAGCTCAGTTCACTTCAAACCCTTTATTAGCATGACAAGCTAAACAAGTTTCAACAAAGGGGAACGGATTCGGAAGCCCTAGAGTCTGGATCTGAGGCTAACACCGTTACTTCAGCCTTCGTTCCTGGATAGGGTTTTCTCTTGTATTTAAGCTGCTGCTCTTCCCCTTGGGCACGGGCACCATTTCTTGCTGCCCCTTCACCAGGCTAATTCTCTGTCATGAAAAGATGGCAGTTCTTCAGTCTCCACTGCAGGGTACACCTGTGCTGGCACTGGCAACCCTTGAGGCAAAAAGGCTTTGCAGAAAGCATTGGCTGGGTGAGGCGAGGTGAGGCCACACAGCAGCCCTGAAGACTCACATGGTGGAAGCTGGAGGCACTGTGCTGGGCACAGAGTGGGCAGCAGGCCCTGCTGGGTGGCTGAGCACCTACGGTAGAGCCAGCAGTCGGCCAAGGAGCAGGGGGCTGCCACAGCCCAGTCACTGTACCCAGAAAGGGACACTGGGGACAAGAAGCAACAGTGAGCTGTGCTTTGTAATGGCTAGTTAGAAATGGCCAGTAGGGGTCACTGATATCTATTTATTATTTTTTGTTTTATTTTTCAAAACATCTATAAATATAATATATAAATATAATATATATATTTATGTATATTATAATGTATAAATATATGTATTTATATAATAATAATTTATAAATATATATATTTCAATGTATATATAAATATATGAAACATACAGGAAGCAGTTGTAATGGGGAAGTGCATTCATCACATGTACAGGTTAGGGAAAAGGGCCCTTACATGCATTTAAAATACCACTGTAAGCTGTGCATCCCTCTCTGCTCAAAATTCATGATGTTACAAATCCACTGAGCTGATCAGGAGCCAGGGTCCCATGTGGGTGCTTTGCTGCTGTTGTTCTTCAGCCCTGCCTTCATCCTTTATTCCACGTGTCCAGAGATGCTTTGAGAGAAGTGTAAGAGGTTTTGAGATTCAAACCCTGAGAGTAGGTTATTGTGTTGCTTCTCTGACAATACAGCACCCAATGCAATTACATCCCATCTGCAGTGGATGACTTTAGGCAGCCCCGTAAGACAAACACAGCAGTTTTGGTTGAGTCAGCACAATTCTGTTCTTTAGCTGTTGTTGCTGATGACTGTTTGTCCGTGAACAAATTCCAGGTGATTTTGGAGAGTCACACATTCACAGTAAAATTTAGCCCCACTCTTATTTAGAAGAATTGATTGAATTCTATACTCCGATATTGCTAGCAGCTAGTTTACTGGTGAGCTGTGTTTCTTTGGTAGGTACATTGTCCAGGCATGCTGGCAGGGAGGTTGTCTATCCAATTCTGCATCCACAGATGTGTTTGGCTATCCCAGGCTGGTCGTACTTTGTTGTACAGAAGTGAGTGCATCCTGAGGTCCTTTCATTTCCTCCAAGCAGGAAGAAATGGGACTTCACACATTGCGCAGGCAGGGATCACCAAAGGATGGCCCAGTCCATTTTCTTCCCAGCTTGACCTGGGTTGGCAGAGAACCTGGAGGGACCAATATTGCCATGCCTTCTGGTGGAGAGTCATTATTTATGGTGTCTACTTCTTCACTATAGGCACTTCAGAGGGATTTGTCCCTCTGCAGGGTGGCACCTGCCCCTCCAGGGGTTCCTTTTATAAAGTTACAGGGGTCTATATAAAGTGCTGCCAGTTGGAAAGTATTTTGAATAGACTCCTCCCTGCTCTTCATTAAGGGTCATAAATTCAACTGGTATTTGAGAGAATCTCAAATGTATTTCTAGGACTGTTTACTGAGAGCTTCAGCATCCGCCAGAGGCCCCTTAAAATAAAGGGATTATTGGGAGTCAAGTGTTAAATTACCTGATGCTTGTTAATTGAGCTTCAGAGGCTTTAGTGAGCAACTGGCTCTCGCAGAGAACAAGACTTTGGCATGAATAGTGTTATATAAATGAATATAATACAACACAGCGTCACGCTTCCGCATCGTGTCACTTCTCTTGGCTCAGAGCAGTGGTGAGTCCATCTCACAAGCCATCCAGATACATGAAAAGGCAGTGTGGAGTGTGTGGAGGCAGAGAGGGCAGGGGATTGGCAGTCAAAGCTTTCTGGATTTGGGCACAGGGTTTTCTTCATGCTCAGAGCAGGTGACTGGTCTCAGGCATCCTGAGTTCTGCTTTTGTCTCCCTTTAGCTGCTTGACCTTGGGATCTGATCTTGAAAAGAGTTGAGTTTATTAGAAGCTTTCAGAGGCCATCTGAAAGTTCAGTTCTCTCCATCCAGCGGGGTTTATTTCACCTAAACTTCTAAAAAGATTGGAGGTCCTCTTCATAGACCCTCTGTCTTAGGTTCTCTATGATTCTGTGATCCTACTCTAAGAAAGGAAAGGACTCTAATCACCACTGCCATCAGTGCACACCCACGGAAACCTGAACAGCCCACAACTGCGAGCCCTCCAAGGCAGCAAGGCCCTGTGGAAATGGGAAACCTCATCAGCTATGAAAATTTCATCAGCTGGCGCTGCAGAAGCAAGAATCTGGAAGTGGGGAGCAGATGGGCAGTCTAGATTCTTGGAGCCATTGTCCTCCTGCTTGTTATCTGACTCCAGCACAGGGAGGGTTGGGAGAATTTATGGGGGCACAAGGATTGAAGGCTTTCTTGAAATATCCCTGCTGACGCGTGGCACAGTGCAGGCGGTACTTGCTGGGTGCACAGCAGACGGTTTTGCACAGTATTCCCAAGGTCATGAAGCAGGGTCTGCTGAGCACCTGTCCTCTATTGTGTAAGAGAGGGCACCATGTGGGCAGGGCTTGCAGCACTCTGAGCCTTTCACTACCTGATTGCAGACTTGAAGGCTGTGTACATGTGATACATTTGGGAATATCATCGGAATACTAACAGGACTTCTCTCAGCTGTTCCCATTTCTACTGGACTTGGCTCAAATAACCACCACGTGGACATCAGCTCAGGAGATGTTTGTGAGAGAAACAGTGACAGGGAGGGAACAGAGGGTAAGGCTGCAGGACAGGCTTAGAGGGCAGTGGGCAAAGGACGTGTGTGAGCTCAGAATGGAACAAGAGGGCCAATTTGGTTAAAATGTAAAATATATTAACTTTCTGAATCTTCAAGTGTAGAAAAATGAAGTGGATGAGTTTGCCAATAGAAACCAAAGTTCATGATCGTAGCTGTGTCCAGGTTTGATCTGTTCTTATCCACTTTTACTGTCAGCCCCTCTTCTCTAAGAGGCAGCAGAAGTCCTCAGGACTTGTAGGTAGGTTTTTCCGTTCAACTTTGGAATCTCTCTGGCCTTGCTGGCAGCACAGAGAGCTGTGGCCTCAGGGGCATTTGTGCCCCTCTACTCTGCCCTTGTGAGGCCCCATCTAGAGTGTTATGTCCAGGATGAAACACCCAGCACAGCAAGGATGTGGAGCTGCTGCTGGAGCAGGTCCGGAGAAGGGTCATGAGGATGATCGGAGAGCTGGAGCACCTCTCCTATGAAGAAAGGCTGACGGAGTAGGGCTTGTTCAGCCCTGAGGAAGACTCCAGAGAGACCACATTGTGAGCTTCCAGTACTTGAAAGGAGCGTACAAGCAGGAGGAGGACTGGCTTTTCATATGGCCTGATAGTGATAGGACAATGGGGAATGGCTTTAAGCTAAAAGAGGGGAGATTTAGGTTAGGTGTTAGGAAGAAATTCTTTACTCAGAAGGTGGTGAGGTGCTGGCCCAGCTCCCCAGAGAAACTGTGGTGCCCCATCCCTGCAGGCTCAAGGCCAGGTTGGATGGGGTCCCGAGCAGCCCGAGCTGGTGGACAGCAGTCCCGCCCACGGCTGGGTTTTGAACCAGATAACCTTTATGGTCCCCCAACCTAAGCCAGCCAATGACCCTACGCCTCTCCCCCCTCCAGCACTTGGGCTCTCCCATCGCCCCCCGCCCGCTGGTAGCGCCCCGCCCGCCGCCCCTCTCCTCCGCCGGCCCGGTTTCCGCGCGGCGCGTTGCCGCGGTGACGGAGGGGACGCGCGGCCCCGCCCCTCCCGTGCTGCCCGATGACGCACCGCGCTGCGGCGTGGGGATTCCGCCGGATTACCCGGCGTGCCCCGCGGCAACATGGCGGCCTGAAGTGAGAGCGTGGGGCCGGGCCGAGCGGGGGCAAAGTTTGGGGCGGGCCCGAGGCGAGGTCGAACCGGGACCGAACCGGTCGCAAAGTCCCGGGAATCCAGGGTGGAAACGAGCCCGACCGGGTCAGAACCGGGACGGGGCCATGGGGACGGGGAGCGGGGGCGGCGACCGGCTGGGGACCGAGCTCTGGCCCTGCCCACGGGCCTCGCCGGCCTTCCCGGACGGGGCGGCGGCGGTGGGGGTTTAGCTGTGGGGGCTCTTTCTGCGGGTGGGAGATGGGTGGGCGCGGGGTGTGGAGGGGTGAGGAGCGGGATCCGTGCAGGGGTGCTGGACTAGGAGCTGCGAAGCAGAACAAGCGTGGGCCGGTGCGCATGTTTTAAGGAATCACAGCGTAACTGACACAGAGCTGGTGTGGAGGGTGCAGCACTTACCGTCTGCCAAGCCCGGGGGTCAGATGGGAAGTTATCTGCCAGCCTGGGTGTCCACTACAAGGGGTGCTCCCTACGGTGTTTCCAGACGTGAGAAGACTTTGAAGAAAAGATCTAAGCAAACAATAGTGACCTGCTTCTAGCTCAGAGCTTAAACACACAGTGTGGCGTGCGGTGAAAGATTGAGTGTGGGTGGATTTTTAAATGGGCAGGATACTGCATTGGGAGGCAGCAGGGCATGCAAGTGATGTGCAGGTCTGGCAAGGCTGCAAATGACCTAGATCTGAGTGATGCCAGGTGGAGGCTGTGCACTGGAAGGAGTCATCTATTAAATACAGTTACTTTATGCCAGAGAAGGCTTTTCAGAGGTGTTCATTTGTGTTTTACAGATTCAGAGAAAGAAATGGGAAAAACGTCAACTTAAGAGGAAGCAATGAATCTCTGTTGAAGCATCAGATCGCAGGTAAGAAAGTCAGGAGAGAGCTGATGCTGAATTGAGCCATGCTCTTCTTGTCCCTTCACTCGAATTATTTGAGGCTATGGAACCACATACCTGAAAAACTGTCCTTCCCTATGGTGTTCTTTGCATCACGTTAGACTTACGTTGCCTGAATGAAGAGATCAGGGATGCAAATGGAATGGGTGTAACCCTGAAAAATTCAGTAAGAGCCCGTGGGAAGGAAAGTTCAATAGAAGACGTGGGCTAGTGCCCTTCACATGCTATGTAAAACAAACAAACAAAAAAATCCACCAAAAAAACAGAAAAAACACCCCATCCCTAGAGTCCCTTCTGTCAGTGTTGAAATAGTGATGTTTTCTGTGTAATGGCAAGAGGTCTGCTGAACCAATCACAGTGAAATCCTTTCTGGAGATGTTGCCCTTGCAGTTATTGTGATGTGACAATTAAGTAATTCTAGTGACCCTCTGTTCTGTTAGGTTATTTCTTCTGCTGCATTGTTTTCTCTACCCGTATTTTAACTGATCCAATGATGGATGGTGCAGGTATGCTGCTGGCCTCTTTGTGCTCTCCTGAACTCATCATTGAGGTCTGGTTACAGGGGCAGCTATTTGATACCTAACTGCTTGGTCCTGTAAATTTTTCATCCCTTTCACTTCACTTGTCAGATCACAATTCCTTTTTTTGTTTGTTTGGTTTTTTGTTGGTTTTTTTTTTTTCCTCTTGTAGGATCTCTGCAGAAAATATGTGTATCCCAACAGTACTTTACATGTGGTGTGTTTCAGCTTCTCGTAAATCAAAATTGAAGCTTCCAGGCTCTAGCTGTGGTATCAGAAGCTTTTGGCTGTTAATACCTTGCCAGTCACCCAGTACTCTTGAAATTGTGGGATTGCATTTCAAAAGGAGCAGCAGAGTTCAGAAGTGCAATTCATGGCCATCTTCATCTTAGGATGAAACAGGGCCTTGGGTCAGGAGGAGAGGTGTTGCATGCAAGGACCTGTTGTCTCTTCAAACCATCTTTTTGAACCAGAGATGACCTTGCATTCTTCTTCAGCATTCCAAGTAGTTTGTTAGCTGCTGATAAGTTACTTGCTTTGCAGCCTTCAAATCCTGAGTTCTTATCTGCCCTGTCCATATATCCATGTGGCACAGTATTTAGGGAAAGCAGGAAATAAGTTATACCTTCACAAGAGGAATAGTCCTTTGCAGGTTTGCCCCTTTTCTTCCTACAGCAAGGTAAATAAAGTTGACTCGGACAATGGATGTTTTCTGATCAATGTGTTGGTATGAACGGTACCAGAGAAAGCTTGGAGAAAGGATTTGTGGAAGCCAGTGTGGCATATAAATTGCTTGTTGGGGGAAAAAGAAATCTAACTGCTTAAGTAATAGCAATATAAACAAGTTTTAGAAATTGTGACTATTTTTCTTTTTTTTTCTTTTTTTTTCTTTTTTTTTTTTTTGGCAGTTCAATGTAGATTTGATGTTTCTGAGCCTTGGAAGCTGATGATTTTTCCAAAGGCGAGCTGTCTAACCTGCTAAAAATGTCTGTTTTATGAAGGTTTTGCCGCAAACCAGGCTCTTGAGATTTCCATGTGTTCATCACTTCTACAGCACAGTCCCAATAAATAAATCTGGAGGTTATGGCATTGTGATTAACCACTTTGTGTCCTTGTTAACAGTTTTTACAGCACAGCGTGACAAGATTAATGTAGCAGTAGTTAATAACCTTGTACCTTTCGTGTTACTGTAGAAATGCTGCGTCAAGGAGCCTCCAACGAGTCTGAATGTGATACTGCTTGAGGGCAGGATTCCTCCACTAAGAAATGAGAATTGTACTTGATACCTTTTTGATGTCACTGTGCTCTTTTGACCAGTGTTATCAGGAATGGGGATTTTCATAATGAGCTGAGCAGACATCCGTGGCTGTTGGATTTGATTGATCCTTTGCAAGTAAATTTAAGGTTCTGAAGCTCCCCTAACTTGAAAGTTTTGTTTGGGAGGATATCCACTTTTTGTATGATACCTTGACTGTGGAGAGAGTGAGTGCTTCTGGCATTTGTTCTAGGTTGTGCCTCTTAAGTTACTGGTAACTGGATAAATATCCAGGGTTCTCCCTGAAACCCATTTTACACAGGACTGCAAAAGAACGGCGTGTATAATCTGTGCAAATGGGGCTAATACCTTTGGTGTAAAATTGTCTGTCACACTCTCCTACTAGTTCCTGTACCTCAGGGATTTTTGTAATGTAGATCAGCTGGGTCTGTAACTGAAATAGGAAGAATCTTACTTCTTAAAACTTTAAAACCTTTGCAGCTGGTCAGAGGGGAAGGATGAACATGTGGTGAGAGTGCTGGACTGGGATGTAGGATACCTATTTTCTGCCAGAGATTGATTATGTGTGTTCAGATCATTACTGATTCTTGCTTTCTGTTCTTTGACTGTAAAAATTAATGCCCATCTTACTAAGCATTTTAGGAAGAGTCCATAAATATCTGTAAGATGCTTGAATACTGTGATGCTAAATGTTTTACTAAAGCACAGTAAGGAAAAAATTATAAAAAGCATGTGCATAGCCATGACTTTAAAATGAAGTAGGCCTTTTGTGATCTGTTGTCCTTCATGTTCTGCAGCATGATGAAATTGCTGTGAAGTCAGGCCTGGCCTTCTTTAAGACAAGTAAGCATTCTGAAACCCCCTTTCCTCTCTCCCCAGGAGCTGCTTCATTTTTTCCACTCTGGTAATGCCTTATCTGGCTGAATGTTTGCAACTCTTATTTTCTCGTTTGTTTACCTTGATTGTTCTAGACTCGGAAATTGTTCTCTTTGTTGCCAGGATGTTCATGTAAGGTCTCAGTAGAGAAGACTGAAAGCAGAAGTTTGTAGGCTGTCTCATGTTTGGAATGACATAAGCCACCCTCTGGAGTGTCCTCTTGGGAGCTGTGCTTAGGAAGAAAATGGCATGGAAGGCCATGTAGGAGTGTGAGAACAGCTTTGCAATGGTTGGAATGCAGGAAAGGCATCACTTGGGTGGGCTCAGTTTTCCTCTGCTTTTCAGCACTGCTGGGTGCCAAGTCTGAGGAAGACTGCTGCACAGAGGTGAAGAAGCTGGAATGTGTTCTTCAGTTGAGGTGAATGCAATTCAGTAAAACTGATAGGCATCAAACTGAATAATGATTTTAAAGTATTTTCACATGATGTCTAATCTGTGCAAATTCACTACCACATAATAGCACTGAGGCTGAGAGCTCAGAAAAGATCAAGCACTTATATGAGTGGTAGTGTTCAGACTTGCTTTAGCTAAAGAGCTTGTTTTAGAAGGAATGTTTTTTTTTTCAGACATAACCCAATCTCTAACAGGTAAAGGTTAGAAAAAAGGGCATTGCATTCTGTATTTGTCCACCGGGGCTTCTTGCTGTCTTCTAAACCACCTAGTATTGGCTTGTGTCAGAGGTGAGGGATTGAATCACACTTACTATTTAGATTGCCTGCTAACCTTTACTTTTTTGATAACCACATCTTTTTTTTTTAAAAAAAAAAGGCACTACAGCTGCTATGACTAGGGCTGATAGTTGAGGATTGTAAGTGAGGCTCTTGGAATGGTTAGCGCAGTCCATAGATGAAGACTGTCTTATTCATGAATATGAAGGCATGTAAGTATTGTTTCTTTACTCTTCAGTGGTCAGACATAGTGAGTTGTGTCTGTTGCCTTTGCTTCCAAGCAAGGAAAGCATGCGGAGTTTGGCCTTTCCACGTTGCAGTTTTATAATGGACTTTAATCCCAAAGACAGCTGAGGAGGTGGACTTTAAAGCTATTCAAGTAACATCTCGTATCTTGTGGCATGAGCTTCACCTTACTGATGTTTGGGAAGGCACAGCTTGTGTTCTATGCTATTGTCCAATTTGCTCGGGATCCAGAGGCTCAGCAGTGCTGCTTGGTCACGTAGGCATCAATCTGATTTGCTGGATAGACTAATAAGGGTAAGTGGTAGTGGTAAGGTGGTATGTATAAGAGGTGCTTGCAGTATCTGCCTAAATGCAAGGGGAACTCCTGGAGATAATTGTAGAGGGGGAGGATTTTCAGAGCTAGGAGCAGGTCATGCAAACCCTAAGATCTGTGTGTGGATACCCTCCTTATGGGCTGCTCTGGAACAGCATGTGCTCTAGGGCACAACGTAGCCCTTTTGTGGCAGGTGTAGGGAGCTGCTGACTTTCACAGAAAGTGTGTAATACTGAGAGAATAAAGATTAAAAAGTGAAAAGGGTCAGAATTGGGAAATAAGGTTTTCTGCGATGAGGCTGGTTTTTAGGTACCTCCTGCTAGTGGCAAGAGAGAGCTAGTTTAACTTTCTGATCTTTATGGGTCAGCAAATTCAGAACTGAGAGTCCGTGGCAACTGTTGTGTCTTTGCTTGACTTCTGTATTTGTATTTTGTCTGTGTGGTAAAGCTTTGGCAGTGTTGTAGAAATTGTAACTGTGGGTTTTCTTACTCTTGTACTTAAAGACTCAGTTGTCTGGTTGCGTTAATGTAACACCCGTGTGCAAATGGTTCTGGAATGAGAAGTGGCAGACGAGGTAGTTTCTCTCATATTGAGGAATCATACTTAGACTCATAAAAAGCCTTAGGCAAATTTTACTTTGTAGCATTTGTATCAAGAGAACGTAAGTTGTTTTCCCAAGGCAATAATTAGGTAATTATTGTGGCAGTAAGTTTTTTGACCATTATCTTAGCATACACCACTCAGGGCAACAGAATTCAGACCTGGATATGTCTTGCTGCACAAGCTCTGTGCAGTTCCCAGAGATGCCTTGCTTCATTGTCTCCTGAATGAGATTTCATCCTACAGCTTCCCTGTTCATTAGCAAGGGCTCTGCTGCTGCCCAATGGGGAGGTTACATTATTCTCAAGAGGTGACTTGGAATCAGATTAATTTCATACGAGCAAAAAGTGATTGCAGTTAATTCTACCATTTTGTTGTTCTGTGTTTTATTTCTTTTTTTTTTTTTCCTT